TCCTGCTGCGTATTAATAGGATATTATTATAATAATTAAAATTTTTATTATAGATTAGTAATAGAAGACAAAAAATTAAGGTTGATAAAAGACTTTTTTATGCCACATCATAAAGAAATTTATGAAATAAAAAAATTTGTGAACAAAATAAAAAATGGATGAATATTTCTTTCCCGTTACGTGTATAAAAAATAGATTAAGAGCAATTATCCGACTAAATGTACATAAAAAATTTCATAAGAATGGGTCAAGCCGTATCGAATAAGTATGGCACTAATATGACAATTAAAAACAAGGGTTAGTAATGTTGGAGTTCAAAAAATAAACCCACCCTTATTAATTAGGAATATAAAAAAATTATTACGACCAATTCTACCCAATAGACATACATGAAAATTTTTATAAAAATCGGTCACGCCGTTTCAAAGGAGTATTGCAACTAACCCTGTAACACATTAATATGGCTATTAAACTATTGGAGTGGTGATAGAAGGGTAAAATTAGGGTGTTGTATGTATTGTTTAATGCGACGTTATAAAAGTTAAAATAAAAAATGTTGTCCAAAATATATAAAAAAATGTTTGGGGTGACCTATTCTCGAACTAACCGAATATATTATTATGTAATATTTTATAAATATCGGTCGAGCCATTTCAGAGAAGTATGGCAATAAATTCTGTGACACTAATATGGCAATTTAAAAAAAATGGTTAGTAATAGAGGGGTGAAAATTAATTACTGTATTATATTTTGTAACTGCACATCCTAAAACCATAAAAATAAAAATAAAATATTATATAATAATATTTTAAATATAATAATAATAAAATAAAATATAAAATAAAAAATTGTTAAAAATCGGAGGAACCAGCATTACCTCTTAGGGGTATAAAAAATAGATAACAACCTAACCTCGGCCATACAGCTACAGAACATACATGTCAAATTTCATGAAAATCAGTACAGCTGATTCGGAGAAGAAAGAATACACATGACAATAACATGGAGTCTTTCCAAACGGTCCATCTAACCTATCCGTAAGTGGTAGCCGCAACCGACACTGCTTGAGTTCGGTGATCGAATGAGAAAGTGTGGTATGGCTGTTGCCCAACCTATCAATACTGACATTTATTGTGTTAATCGTAGTTTTCTTTGTTAGTCATAGGATGGCGCCATCTATTAGCTTTATTGCGATTTAAAATGGGAGAATAACTGTTTTTGAAGTCTCTCCGTAAATTTTTTTTAAGTATCTTCTACACAAACCCTTCCTGATAGTAACAAACACAACAACAAAAAATTATTTAATTTTGTGCAGAAGGACTGCAATATGCGCTCGTGCATATATTTCAGCGCTTCGTCGTGTTGATATAAGAGACAATGTTGAAAGTTTTAGATTAAAACAAGAAAATTGCATAATACTTACCAGTTACAACTGCAAAATACAGAAATAACGTGTCTGGTTTTTTTCTACCACCATTGTGATCATCTTCATACTTCATATTTTCTTGAAGTGTTGATGTTTCGGTGTCAACAATGTCTTTCTCTGTCATGGTATTACTTTTTATACTTAGTAAAATTAAATATTTGCAGTAAAATTTATCTCATAGGTCTACGATTTACTCGAAGATTTTATCATTAGATATCAATGATAAACCAATCAGTATATTGATATAAAAATAATATAAATGGCATTGTTATTTATGTAAATTATAAATATTGTAACATCCAATACTTAAACGTTGATTTAGACTCGAGTATCTTAAATTGTTTTGTTTAAGAGCTACGAATAAACAATGTAAGGTTTGTACTTTTAATTTTATTCTAAATTTATTAGTTCCAAAGATCCATACTTTTATTTTTAGGTAACACATTTTGAAGTTGGTTTTAGTTAGCACGTTATAAATATCACACATACCAGTCTTCAGAGACCAAAATGCCACTAAACCCATATCAGCCACTCAAATCATACTAACAAGCTGAATTTTGCCAAGAATATAAATTTTGGGACCAAAAAAGGCGTTAAAAAGTTTATTAACTTTACCTCCATACTTCGCCCTAAAACACATCCCTAGGGTGAAAAAAGGCAACAAAATCGATTTACCAAGAATCTACACGCCGTAGAAAAAAATGTTTTTAAAAAAAAATGTGGCTGAGATAATTATATACAAAAATATTTATTTGCACTTTTTGTGTAGAATGCACCATTCTCTTTTGGGCCTTTGGGAATGAAACCACACATTCCCATTAACTCGGCTCATAGGGCACAGAGTCACCTTCTCTGTCGCTCATATGAGTAATTCCTGTCTGGCGCGTCCATGTCGCGGAGGTTGGGCATCTCTTGCTTCAGTAGGCCAGAGCTAGTAGATGGCTTAGTTCAGATAGGGACCCAGTTCCGTGGGGTATAGCACGGCCCCCTTGCCCAGGGATACGGGTGAAGACCACAAAGATTATGAAGGTGGAGAATATAGTATTCGGTACAGTGAAGTCAATGGAAGTGGCAAGCCTGTTTCTAGGGATAGTATCGAATCAACCTGGTGAAGGGCAGCAGTGATCACCAGTACTAGAATTAGACGTAAAGGAAATGATCTTAAACCGGCTTCTTACTAGAATACCGTAGATGAGACTGAAACAGTTAGAGAGCTACGGTACTGCGATGAGGAAAGCATGTAGGAAACTACCGCATTATATTCCTCAGGACATCCGACCGTAGATTTTTTCTTGTCATGTTGGAAGAAACAAAACAAATCAAAGAATCTCCCGGTTACAATTTAATAAAATAACCAAAATTGCTACGTGAAATGGCAGAAGCTTATTTGCAGCAGGCAAATACAAAATCTAATTCAGGAAATGAACAGAATTAACATCGATATTCTCGGCATAAGCGAATTGCGATGGGAAGGCTCAGGCATGATCAATACTACTGGTAAAACACTTTACTACTCATGCAGTGATAGCACAGACCCTCAGCACAGACATGAGGTGGGAGTTCTGATAAGCGAAAATTTGCGCGTCTCCGTGAAGAACTTTGTCCCGATCTCCGAAAGGGTCATACTTATTCAGTTGCATGGAAAAGTTAACATAAATATTATATAAGTCTACGCCTCTACAGCAGACAAGTCAGAAGAAGAACTAGATCGATTTTATCAACAGCTAGATGAAGCCTTAAAGGTGACTAAGAATCACGAAATTAACATCGTATTAGGAGACTTTAACACAAAAGTTGGGGAAGGAGCCCTAGATCACGTAGTTGGAAAATATGGTCTTGGTCAGAGAAACGACAGAGGGGATAGATTGATACAGTACTGCCAAGACAAAGATCTAGTCATAACGAATACTTGGTATAAGTTACCACCCAGGAGGCTTTACACGTGGAAGTCGCCTTTAGACGGACATCAGGGCATTATAAGGAACCAAATAGATTATGTGACAATTAATAGAAGGTACAGGAATGCTATTACTAAGGTATCTGCATTTCCTGGAGCAGACATAGGATCCGACCACAATCTCTTAGTAGCAAATATCAAACTGAGGCTCACTACGGCTAAAAGAAAACACCAGAAGTCATCAGTAGACATTAGGAAACTCAAAAACAGTGAAACGTAGACAGAGGAACTAAACAATAGGTTCTCTAATATGTCAACTGAGGATGATGTTGAAAAGTCATGGACCACCATAAAAGAATCATTTGATGAGGTGAACAACACTTTTCTACTCGAGAGTAAAACAACTACCAAGAATGAGTGGATGACAGAAGAAATATTAGAGATGATGGAACACAGGCAGTGTAAGATCAGGCAGGACGAAGTAGGGTACCGAAATATACACAGTCAAATTCGTAAAGAAATTATAGCGGCGAAGGAGATCTGGATGATTACACTTTGCACCGAGGCTGAAAACCTATATAAACTCGGCGACAGATTTAATCTTCACAAGAAAATTAAGGAAATTGCTGGTGTCTTCAAGAAAAAACCAGTGACTGCTATATATATTGACCAAAATAAACTAATAACGAACCCTTGCGATATACGTAATACTTGGAAAATGTACACGCCAATTTGTTCAATGATGACAGAACACAAAAACCACCACAACTGAGAGACCATTTGTATGGCCCAAGTATTTTGAAAGCTAAAATTATACACGCTATCAAACTATTAAAAAGTCACAAAACCCCAGGACCAGATGATATATACGCAGAAACAATCAAGTTACTTAATGAAGAAAACCTAGACGACATTATTGTCAAGCTCTTTAACGACATCTACAATACGGATCAGATTCCAAAAGATTGGCTTCGATCTACATTTATCGCCAAAAACACCACGTGCGAACTTCTGCAAGGACCACCGACTAATAAGCCTAATGAGTCAATTTTTAAAACTTTTCCTGAGAATACTTCACTCTAGATTGTTTAAGAAATGTGAAGAGGTCAGTGGATGGAGTCAGTTTGGTTTCAAAATGGACTTGCACGAGAGAAGCGATGTTTAGTATGCAAACATTAATACAGAATTTTTTAGATCAAAGAAAGGATGTTTTTGTCTGTTTCATCGATTACAAGAAACCATTCGATAATGTAAAACACGAATTGATGATAAAATACCTACAAGAGTTGGGATTGGATGTCAAGGATATAAGAATTATCGCCAATCCGTATTGGAACCAGACAGCAACAGTACGTCTTCAAAATTTCAACGAAACAGAAGATTTCTCCATTAAAAAAGGAGTAAGGCAAGGTTGTATACTGTCGCCAATGCTGTTCAATTTATACGTAGAAAAAGCCTTCGCAGAAGCACTGGCAGACTCTAATAAGGGTAAAAAAGTTAACGGCATATTTATTAATAATATCAGGTATGCAGATGATACAGCCATAGTGGCAGATAACATCGAAGATCTTCAATGCCTTTTAAATGACCTAACTCTTGCAAGTGAAGCTCGGGGTTTGAAAATAAATATCAAGAAGACAAAACAATTATTATAAGTAGAAATGATTACCCCAACGCAAAGATATTTGTCTCTGGAGAAGAAATCGAACAGGTCAGGCAATTCAAATACTTGAGTTATTTGCTGAACGAGGATTGGGACCCCGAGAATGAAATAAAGAGAAGAGTTGAACAAGCCAGAAATGCAAATTGGATTTCAACCTCCGATACAAGATGCTTAAGTATTACGTGTGGCATGTTCTTCTGTACGGAATGGAGGCATGGACGTTAAAGGCCAGTTCCATTAACAAACTCGAAGTGTTTGAAATGTGGTGCCTGCGTAGAATGCTTAGAATATCATGGACGGATAGGGTCAGAAATAAGGAAGTACTCAAAAGAGCGGGCTTACAGGATAGGGAACTTTTTAGTTATGTAAAAAGTAAGAGGACTGCATACTTGGGGCACATATTACGAGGAGAAAGATACACTTTTCAGCAACTGATACTCGAAGGGAAGATAGATGGTTGGAGAGGTCTGGGACGTAAAAAAATGTCATGTTTGCGCAATATTTGACAATAGACTGCTAAAAACAGAATTATTTAATCCTAAATATTTAACATCTCACCTGACAAGACGATGTACGGTGGACGCCTACGCAGAAATGCACGGCACCTTAAGAAGAAGAACCATTCTCTCACAAACAACGCTTACGTCTATTTTGAATGTTAGTTACGCGCGCGAAATAAATGCTGAATAAAATTTGTATCAGCTCGACGGTAAAAATTCGATTTTTTTTGGTTAAAGTGCTCTATCCAAAAAAATCACTATGTGTTATATAAAGGCAAAGAGTGCAGTTTTCGTATGCTATTTTTGTATTTTGCTGCAAGTAAAATTTGATTTTATAAATATGTTAAATAAATAAACGTTGCGCGATTTTTGCTATTTTTTATGATTCTCATGAGATTAATACAATCTATATCTCATGAGATTAATACAATCTACATCTTTTATTGACTGATATTATAATTTCTTCATTCAGACAATATTATGTCTATGAGATGATAGAACATAAAACCGGTGGTTGCGCATATTACTCAGCACAGGCCGCGCCTTGCCTTAAAGGCGAGCCGTCGTTTTGTTGTTGCACAAAAAGTACCATAGACAAGAGACAGCTTTCAACTCCGCCGCGGCCGCCGACGCGGTGCACGACGCCCTGCTTGTGTTTAACCTTATGTTAATAGTCATTGAACTGTTTCGATATTTCGCCATAAAAACGATTGTTTTAAATACGTATTAATCTCAGCCGCATATTTAAAGAGGGGAATAAGTGGTAATGTCTGTCGGAAGTCACCAAACGGTAGTTAATCGTTTATTTATAAAATATTTTATTTTACATTTACACATATATGTTGTCCTGTTCGTGTGTGTGTATGTATTCTACAGAGTTGCCATGTAACCAGAGAGGGGTATTGCCCAGTTAAATCTGGGCATAAACCCATAGTGTTTGTAGAGAGTAAGGACTTCGAGCGTGCGTGGTTTTTTCCAGAGCGTCAAGTGTTGCTTTTATAGTAGAGAGTGAATATGTACCCGTCAGTGGTATAGCTTACTGATACCTTATAGCTTGTTTGATAGAGCAAGGATATTCCTACAAATATGTGAGCGAATAAGTCTGGGAGGCGCCAAAGAGA